TAAATATGTATATATATAGCGCAAGGGTACAGGTCCATGGGTCACAGACGAGACGTTGTATTCTGTAAAACAAGCTCTAATGCCACAGAGCCAATATGATCGGTTTCACTGGTCAAACTGAACTGCACCGTCGTTGGTTTCCTGAACACATATTTGGTATCATGTAATACCTGCATCTGTTCGATATTTTTTATTAGCTCCAAATGCCCGTCGCCTAATTCCTCGTTTTTTTCAACATTCTTCTTCAAATTTCAACTGTTTGATGGATTCCAGGTAGACGTCCAGCGTTTGCTCAACTCCATGAAGGCACCAGATCCAGCACGACGCATTGACAAATCTTGTCTGCACTGGACTCCACATTCTGTAGCGCCAAAATGAAATTCTTTACCCATATTTCCACCGGCCACGGAAACTAGTCAACAGTTGATGGTTCTCGTATCTCCAGAGAACTTCATTTGTACATGTATACAACCATTAAACGATGTTCCACAGTGTTTGCAGTCTTGCCCAAGGACAATCAACAGAGCACAGCTGTGTGTACGAATGTCATGATGTAAAATGCTTGCCTTCCGACTTGTTTCTATACTGAAAAAAATCCTTGATTCTTGTCTGTATATTCCCCCCCTCCCAAAATTTCACGTCGTCTTTTTTTCGTTAAAGATGATGGGATACAAGACTAAAGCACTCAAACTTATACGAATTTCCCTGTCGAACTGATTGCTATGTTTTTGTACAATTAAACGAGTTAGTTAATCAATGCCTTATTGTAGTATCATAGTCAAAACAGCGAATTTGGTATGAATAAGGTGGAATAGGAGTTATATTCCCACGTAATTGAGAGAATGGCACGACGTTTGCTTAGCTGGGCTCGATTGCTTTCCTCCCGGCGCAAATTACTGGTGACAGTCGAAACCGCTACTTTTGACCCAATAGCATAGTGTTCGGCTGTTAAACAAAAGGTCTTGGGTCCTTTCTCTATCCAACCTATCCTTCCTTTCCACTGTCAACACTGGTGTTGCCTGTGGTGATGATGAATGCACATGTTCCGAGCCTTATAAAGAAGCAATTCGGAGCGTACTTGTTGCTGTAGGCGACATAGTTCTCGTCTTCGAAGAGGAGGAGAAGGCGCAGGTGTTTTTGGATGGACTGACAAATCATACCGTCATTTGGAATGCACTTTGAACTCATAAAGTGTAAGGTCATGCTCCTGGATATCCAGTCACTGAACACGCCACATACAATCCAGGAAGAGGCACTGGAAGTTGTGGAGCATCTTATGTATCTTTGAAGTTATATTAGTTTTGACTGTGGTGTGTCAGATGAGGTCAACGCACGAATCTGCAAGGCTCGGGTGGCGTTTGCTACTTCGAGACATCTAAGGTGTCAAAGCGGTGTATCGCTGCATCTCAAGGGACGTGTGTATCAAGCTACAGTATGGGCTGTTTTGTTGTATGGCTATGAGGCCTGGCCTGTTCGAGCAACGGAACTGAGACGTCATCAGGTGTTCGACAATCGTTGTCTCCGAACCATAGCTCGTGTGGGTTGGTGTCGTCAACGAGGCAATTAGAAAGCGAGTTTTCGGTTGTGCATCGGGTATTTTCATTGAAGAATGTGTCCAGCACCAGAAGCTGCGTTGGTCGGGGCATGCCTGACTATTTGCCGAGGAGAGTTCTGTTTTACATGCCCAAACCAGAATGGCGGAAGCAGAAGGGTTTGAAGGATGAAGGGTGCTGTCGGTTCTACTCGCTTTCCATGATGTGGAGCGCGTGATTCTCACGGCGCCTGGTTGGTGATGCTGTAAGATCGTACTGCCAACCGACTACAGTGGCGTTCTTGTCGTGAGTTTCTATCTGGATTGCCTGAGTGAGTCTGGAGGTGTAGGCACTTCGGAATGATTGTACTAAGCTAGCACTAAGTCCCTTCCCTGTCCACTATATTCTTTTCTCCACAATAAGTCTTTGAGAAAAATCATGGTTGTACAACAGCAAAGCATCGGTGTTGAACACTGATGTCATGCTATCTATTATGATGCTGTTTATGCCTTCATCTTGGAGCATAACTGACGGATTTCGGTTCAATACTAAGACGTTACTGAAATTTCGCTGTTGGCCGGTTGGTGGGGAGATTATTTTTTCATGGATAAATGTATGTCAATAATTTCGAACTGTCTTATACTTTTCAAGTTGTAGACGTCAAACACCAACTATTTACAATACCATTTCACCGGTGTCTATTCAATTGTATATTCACCTGCAAAAGTCTCCCCACTTCTACTGCTGGCAACAATCAACTGGCAAGCAATTTAGACCTCACTTATGTGCTCATGCAGTATACCTGAGTTACTTGTAGCTCGCAACATCTTTACGACGCTTATTTGGTGAAACAGTACTAATTGAAGTATCGAATGGTGAAAAACGATAGATTGTCGGTGTAGTGAGGTTATAAGTCGCATGCGATGGACGGCGCGAATGACAGTAGATTGTATTCATGTAGCGTTGACTTCATGTAGCGTTCGACTTCGGTAACGTTTTCGGCTGGCGTAGATGTTCGACTTCGGTAACGTTTTCGGCTGGCGACTAGTGTTCTCTTTCAAAGTGGGTTCGGCCTTCTCAGATCCGTAGGGACGTTAATATTCTACAAATGTTTTTGTTGCTTGGAATCGTTAGTCTCTGGTTTTTGCAGCGGCGCTACACATAATTGTGGGTCATACGAAAAGAGCCCAAGCTGTGGAAAACTTTGGAACAGGAACATGAGCCGGAATTCAGTTGATATATATTATTTTGCCTTTAGAGGTCTCTTTCTGTGAGTGGGGCCAGTGTGTGCTGACAAACCGAGGAGCATTGTACGGAAGTTTCATCCCTATCTGGAACCATCATTAGTGAGAATCTCACGAAACTCCAGAAATTCTCGAACCTGCGACTTATTGCTTAGTAGTTTAGTCACTTAACCGTTCGGCAACGAAGGGCCGGTCAGAAGTGATTAGCTCGCATTCAGAGAGAGAGACCATGGCGCCGCCAGATGGACTCACCATTTTAGGGTCCGTTATTTGCGAGAATCGTCACAGTTAACTGTAGCAGGCGAATACAATCACAGTGCGATGCCGCCGTGCCGGCAATAATAAAAGGCTCGGAAAACCCGTGACCTCAGTTTAAACCGGAATCGGTGTGAATGAACAAATGTCATAGAGAGGGGATAGTCTTGTTTTACTCGTTTTCCACAGCGGATGTCTTTCGTTGCTTTGACATGGAGACTTCGGTCTTTTAGGCGGCATTTGGATACACATTCGTTAGGGTCTCAGTCTCGAGCAAAGGATGGTAATTTTTAACGAATACATTGTCAACGATACCACTATAACACCCAATTCATCATTTCTCAGAGTTAATGACTAGATTTTTATCCTGCAGGGTAGGATATCAAAGTAAGAGAGACTTTGCTGTGAGACCAACTGTCTGCAGCCAATTTTCCGGGGGCGGACACACACTTCACCGTAGACGGATGTAGATTACTGACAATGATCATCCACAGTTCATGGAGCTAGCGCACGAATAAATCACGCGTATTCATCGTAGCCTTTCTCAAGTTCATGGACCACCATGAATGGGTAACTTCACTGTGAAGGCACCCTTCATCGTTGTTTTCAATCGTGTTCTCCAGACATTGTTTGCGACGCGTAAAAACAATTGTTTATTTGATTGTTGATCCGGACACGTAGGCTAAACAATAGGTTGGATAGGAAGACGATTAGAGCGCCGGATAACTGAAAAATGGTATCTTGCCAGTTGCCGGAGAAAGTCTTCCCACATTGTTTTGACCGGGGTACGGCTGTTTCCTGTTGTTGTCTGGAATAATGTGTTGATTACGGATTTCACGGCTCCAAAAATGCTCCGTTTTAGACAGCTCAGTTTTAAATAGAAGCTTCTCGACCTTCTCAATGAATCTGAAATCTGTTTCACATTCCCTGATTTTGTGCCTGTCGCTTTACGAAAGGCTCCCCGTTTCTCGAACAACCCTCTGAATAGACCTGACAATCGTCCGTAACGTCCGTAAAAGTGAAGTAGTCTGTTGTTTCTAGAAATGATTGGATTGCAATCATTTTCCGAGCTTTAGTTAAAGCCGTTATTGCAAAGTTTGCCGTAGTGGTTGGAAAATATTAGTTATTTCCCTTGGAGTCTGTCCAGAAGGTTGAGCGCTTTTGAGATTATTGACACTGTGAGTAAAACCACTTGTGCACCAGAAGTGAGACTGCTTATCTTGCAGGTCTACATCTTAAGCTGTGCGCGTGTGAATCGCACGTTCTATGTACCTCTTCTTTAAGGTGGATTTGCCCCAACACACCCGTTTTTCGACAAACGCCACTTTCTCGTTTCTTGTTTTTACCCTTTGCGTTAAGTGGCATCCAATCAACCTCTGCTGAAAATTTTCATGCAATTTATGATGCTGTGAGTGTTAGCACTGGGATTCCCAGTAAATTTAGAGTCAACTTGGGATCGGCGTCCCTCACGCTAACATTTTCCGTTTTCGTACTTTGGTCGAAACACCTTTGTTTATTGATAAGTCGCTAAATTTCCCAGTTCACGTTGCGCATCCCCAATCCAAAGAAAAAACGTTCTAACTTTTCATAAAGGAAACTACTCACAAGGTTGCTGAAAACTCCTTGACAGCCCACGACCGGTTTCGTCCGTCTTGGAGCTCATCAGGTAGGCGCAGTCCCCGAGTTTCCTTCAATTTGGTTTTCATGAGACTCAACTGAATCTGTCAAGTAGATCATAAGGTTGACGGAAACTCGGGAAGTGCGCCTACCTGATGAGCCCCAAGAAGGGCGAAACCGGTCGTGGGCTGTCAAAGAGTTTTCAGCAACCTTGTGAGTAGTTTCCTTTATGAAAATATACTTCGATATCTCGAATATCGTGCCAACTGAATCATGAGGCGGCCTGTGTGCAGCACATTCAGCTGGAGAACACCATAAACGAGAGATTCAATTGAGTCTCCCGTGAAAACCAAATTGATTTGCAGATGAGTGTATTTCTCGAAAAACAGTGCAATTTGGGTTCAAGTAGATCATAAGGTCTGACTTCCAACTGCTTCCCAGCTGTTTTTCTCAAATCCTGAACATTCCGACTAATTTAGTCGTATTGGAAAATCTACTCAAAAGTTTGGGCAGTATACCTTTTGTTCACAGCTGTATTAAAAAGTAAGCCAGATAGAGTAAATTATACTATGCCCGACTTCCGATTCGCCATATCTCTTAGTTTAATGGTACTATCTTAGGATGTTTTTCACTTTAGAACTCTGCAGGGGTCAGATGAAAAAAACTGTGACTTGTGGTTGTTTTCATGCTTTTCAGCCTAGGCTACACAATGCAGTTGCTCCGATTCTTCCTGCGTGACCACGCAGGTTATTTCTGGGCGACAAAAGACGTTTGAATACGTCATTTGGAAACTTCGATTTTATGCCGAGCGCTCGTTTTAGGGTGTTTTCCATGTTGGATGTTTGTTGAACGTGAAATTCATCCTGCATTTTTACAAATGAAATCAAGTGTAAATGTCGGATATACTTGGCATCCTGCGCTGTATTCGGAACGCAATTTAGATTTGGATCTATGGAGGTCATTCTTCAAAACAGGGAAACAGGTTGCTTTTTCACTTATGTATTGGGCTGGGCGGCACCAGACACCGATACCGTGACAAATGAAGAATCGAGTGCATTATCTGTATTCCTGATCAATTCTTATTCTGCCATTGTTCGAACT